CGGGGGAGGGGGCGACACCGACGGGGTGGAATGAAACCTCCAGGCACCGCACGCGGGCGCCCCCGCACAACCCGCCACGGAGGCCTACACCTCCGACTGTACATGCGCCGCCTCGCGGAGAAAAACAAGCGGGGGTGCGGTAGGGCACACGCAACTGAACAACTTGTTTATGCGTCGCGCCACATAATCCTGGATCGCCTTCCGCTCTTCTGGATCCGTCACGGCGAGCAGCCGCTCAAGGCTGCTGTCGTGCTCTTCGGCGCCGTCCGGCACACACAGGGATTGGTTCACCTCCAGCAGCGACTCCACGACAACGGAGCGCACAGCAGCGCTCGTCTCCGCGTCGAGGAAGAAGTCCTGCGTCGTCCGCATGGCGCGATGGTCCAGGTTCACGGGCTGATACTGGCCACTGAGCTGCACGAGGTGTTTCCGGCGCAGGGCCCATAGCTCATTCTTGTACTTGGCAAGCTCCGCCGTGGCGAACTCGAGTTGGTGTCGAGCCTCTATGGTGTGAAGCGTTAGGCTCTTCTCTCCCTCCGAGTCCGTCAAGCCAGAGATGGTGTTGGGTGATGTTGATATCATGGGCAGAGCAGCGGTGTACGCAGCGGTGGGGACCACGCCACTCGTCATCTCCAGCAGGCGAAGGTCGTTCTCCCGCACCACACCCGTCAGGGACTTTAATTCGGCTCTAAGCTGTTTCTGCCGCTCCACGCACAACTCCTGCTTCTGCACCTCAAGGGCGATCATGCGCTGCAGGCTTGTGCGCAGCTCCGCAATGGCTGTGGTTTTCTTTTCAAGGTCGACGGACTGCCCCTGCAGCTTCAGCAGCTCCACAACAAGCTGCGACATTTCATCCTGCTGGGCAGATGTGTCCTCCAACTCTTCCATGGAGAGCTTCGTCATTTCGTCGACCCCGGTTTCTAAACGCCTCAACATCGTCTGAAGCATCTCATTCTGCTGTCGCTTTGTCTCCTCCTTCATCTTTGCCATTCGCACCACATGATCACCGTGCTCGCGGAGGTAAGTCTGCTCGTCCCGGCGGCACTTCTCCCGCATCGTCTGCTGCTCCATAAACGCCGCGTCCACCTCCGCGCCCCTCGCAGCGAGTGCGCAGAGACTGTCGAGCGCCCCGTACTGCTCGTCAAGGAAGTTGTTCGCAAGCTCCTCCATGTCCTCCAAGAGCATGAGCTGTCCGTCCGCTAGCTCCGACGTGAGACCCATCGCGGCCTTTGTGACACTCACTCGCTCCTGTTGGAAGTCCCCCTCCTCAGTCTGCCTGAGCGCCTCGAAGCCCACCACATCCTCGCGCAGGTGTTGGGCGTCATCCATCGCCTCCTTCAGCTCCTCTTCCCGCACAAGGAACTCATCGCGCGCGCGCAGCATGCCTAGGTGCCGCGTCCTTCCGCTGAACGCCGTCCGCGCTGCCTCGCCCGCACCGCTGCGTCCTTTTTCGCCTTCGAAGGCGGCGCGCGTCGCGTCAACGAGCGAGCCGTCCATAAACAACGGCTTATCGTCAACCTCCTTCACGTCGTCCCACAGCATGTCAGCCTCCAGCTCGTCACCGAGTGGCTCCGGCGCCACCAGCAGCGGGACGGCATCCTTTTTCTTTCCCCTTCTCGGCATCCCGTCAGGGCTAGACAGACAAATAAACAAGAAAGAGAGAAAGGGAAGAGAGTGAATGAAAAGAAAGTGTGTGGGAATTCCTTCCCTAATTGCCGTTCTTCGTTCCACATGTATGTGTCTCCAAAAGCGTGTTTTGCCTTGTCGTCCTTCCCTCCCCCCCCCCTCTTCACCACCGCTTGGGGGGGTGAACAGAAAAATTGGCCTCCCTCATCAGGCACAGCAATGAAGAGATAAGAATGGGTGTGTACACGTCTGTATGTATGCGTGTGTGTGCGTGCGTAATCTGTTAACAGACTCTAGTCTACCATAATGTACTGCGATACACGTTCAGCGTCCTCCAGTGCCTGTAGCGCGTGAAGAAGAGTGTTCCTGTGTTCAATGGAACGCACCGGTGTTGGCGCAACATCACTATTGGAGTGCATATGTGGCTCAATACCAAGTGCGGCGCAGTCACCTATCAGCTCCTGTGGTCGGCATGTATCTGCCCTCTCCATGAGAGAAGCAGCCACGCGTGACGATGGCGTGACTGGAGCTGTGGCTACTGCCGCAGCGCCCGGACACGCAGCCTCCTCCTCCTCCTTCTCCTCAGCCTCCCTTCGCGCCGCCTTCAGCTTTTGGTTGCGGCGCTCCTGCCACAGGCGCATGCGCACATCCAGTGGGAGTTCAGCCAGGCTTCCGTTAGAGACGCGACTCCTGTTGATGCGCGGGGCAAAGGTACACTCCGGCCCCGCCTCCTGTTGCCCAATGGAGAGGGAGCGGCGGCGAGCAGCCCTCACGCCACTCTCCATGTACAGTTGCGTGAAGCGTTGGTCGAGGTCCTCGCGGCGTAGTTGCACTTTAGGGGGAGGTGTTGCCGCGCGTTTGGTTTCGCGGGGCTTAAGAAGACGGTCTGTCGTAGATTCGTTCATGCGCGTCGCGATGATTTCACTCACGCGGTCAATGCTAGGATGAAAGTCAACGCCCTCTTGCGATGCCGCATGGCGCCGCTGTTGCTGCTGTAGAACACCGTACTCGTACAGGTCCTCGTACGCATGTCTTCCCGGCTTGCGCTGCAGCTTCTCCGCCATTTCGGAGATGGAAGGATGAAACACGCACTCCAGGTTGTCCTCAATGGCGTCGTGTAGCCTTTCCTCCATGTCCTTCTCCTCGATATGTCTCTCCTTTGCGTGCAAATAGAGCCGCTCCGCTGCGGTGAAGGGAAGTGCCATCTGCTTCGCCTTCGCGGTGATCATCGGGGACGCGCGCCTCACGTTAGACTCGGCCCGCTTTCGCTGCATGCGTTCATCCGCCACGGCCTTGCGGTACAGAAGGCTCTCCACCACGGGCATGCCCTCGATGTGCTCCTTCGCCTTGCGCTCCTTCGCAAGTCGGGCCGACTCGACTGATATTCTCGGCTGGAAACTTAATTCAGCCGCAGACTCCTCCACGAGCCGCCCGTGCCTTTCAGCCCGCTTGCGGGACAACTCCTCTGCGCTTATAGGCATGGGGGCACGCGTGCACCTCTGTGGTTTGATTTCCGCGGCTCGCAGCGAGACTCTCTCGGCCATCTCCTTCTCCTCCTCGCGCGCCATTCGCGCCTTCTCGAGGCGATCTGCCTTCTGCCTGCCGTACTCCAGCAACCGTTCCTCGACACAGACGCCGGCACCACGCCTGGCCTCGCGTGCGTCATGAGACGACGGCTTCGGCTGCTGAGACTGCTGCCTCCGCCTCTGCTCTTGTTGCGGCTGCTTTGGCTGCTGCCGCCCAGCCTCGCGTGGCAGGGACATGATCTGCGAGAGAAGCCATTGCCGCTGTTCCTCGAACATCTGCCGCTGACGCCGCGACCGTTCGTCCTCCGCGGCCAGGCGGCAGGCAAGCACCTCGCCCAAGCCGGCCATTCCTCAATTATCGCAGCAGAGGTAAAGCGCAAAGAAAGAAAAAGAGAAAAAAAACAAAATCAAGCAACTGCTTGAGGGAAACAGAGAGTGCACCCTCACCCCCCCCCACGCACTCTTCACACACACACACCAGAAGGAACGTGTGATTATCGATTCAGCATCATTTTCCAAGCACTGTGTATGCGCAAAGCATGGGTCCCTAAAACAAGGGAATGGTAATTACATGTGCCTTCTAGGCTGTTGGGCTTCCTTAGCGTGGGCGTGGCTGAAGAAGCGGAGACCAAACGAGTCGGGGTCCTTCATGATATCCCGCTGCTGCCTCCTGTCTGCTTTGTCCTCATTTCGTGGAATATGCGATGAGTAGAGCGGTGGCATGACTTTCTTTTTGCGTTCTGTCTCCATAAGGTACTTTGTGCGAGCCTCTTCAAAGCACTTGCGCAGGTTTGGCAGCTGAGGGCCTTCTGTCTTTTTGAGTAAGGATTTGGGGCGGAAGGACGAACTCTCAGTGGAGCGGCGCTGCGATGCTGTACACGATCCACGTGAAACGGACTGACGGGCTCTAAGGTTCTGCAGGCGTTCGTGCCGGTTGTTGTGCTGCGTGATGAGCTCCTGTAGCTCCTTTTGCACCTTGTATGTCCGCATTCGGAGGCGGTCCGGCGATGAGAGCCGCGGCACGACAGAAGTGGTATTGGCGCCGCTCATCACCCCTGCCGAGGAAGGCAACGCATTGACAGCGGAGGGTGTCGCAGTGCAGCGGCCGGTACAGTCAGCAGGCATCGCGTCGCTGAACAATGAAGCCGGTGACTGTCTGTCGACGCTGCAGGTGCCTAGCGACGGCGAGAAGCTTGGTGGGGCGTCGCCGTCAGCCATGAGGGCAAGGAGCTCGTCCCTGTCCGACATGTGTCGCTACCGTCAGGGATGCCTTGGGAAAAACAACACGAAGCGGGAGGGGTGCAGCACGGTAACACGCACAGAGGCATACATATACATACAGGAGCCAAAACACGAAGTTAAAGCCACCGCATGTCAGCCCACTACAATATGAAGCATCACTACACCATGGCACACAGGATGGGAAATGACAGTAAATGAGAAAATGGATAGTGAGCTCTATGTCCGCAACGTGGTAAACCGCAAGCAAAGACCCCCTGTGCTGGTATTTGAGTCGCCACGCTGTGTCTGCTCTTCTGGCTGTTCTGCCGATGAAGTCGTGTTGGGAGACACATCCGCACCATTAGCTGACAGCGAATCAATAAATGTGTCTGGCACATCCCTGGAAGGTTCTGCAACAACAGCAGTGGAATTCGTGGCTCCTTCATAGCCCATAGTTCTTCCAAGGGCGCGGCTCGCCCGCTGCATGTAATCATCAAATCCAACCGAAGATGAGGTGTTTCCCATCGGTTTATGGTCCACAAGAGCGCGGTGTTGCTTCTCGTCCACGCTAGGTGCTGGAGTATCAAACGGGCGACCCCCTCTTCGCGTAGCCACAACCCGCATACCATGGGTAAACTGTGTGATGTCTCGAAGCTTCTGCCCTGTCTCCGCGCAGAAGAGATCCCCAACCGGACGCATATGAAGAAGTTCAGATATCCGCTGTTTAACTTGAGCCATTGTGCGGAAGTGTTGGGCCATCACGAGGGCCGGTGGGAGATCAGGAGAGTCGTTGTTAATCACGAACACTTTTGTTGGACGGCACTCCGATGGCACTTCGGCATTGCTACGGTGAGAACGATACGAAATGGAACGCAATGCGTCCTCCGCGTCCGCGAGAGAGGGATGTTCCCCTAGCACCACAACAGCACCCTCCACAATGGGGGCGACTGCAATGTCCCGCAGCACCGGCGGCGCCTCCCACGGCTGACCGTACTGCCCAATGAAGACCCTCGAGGGAACGCCACCACAATTCTCCACAGCGCTAATAATATCGGCGAAACCAGCGTGATCAAGGGAAGACTTTTTCCGTGCGTCGAGAATCACAACAGGAGCCATGCGGAGAATCTTTTGGTGCCGCTCTGCATTGTAGGCGCAATCACCTGTCAGTACCACCATTGGAACGCCATGGTGCAGCACAACAACGCCACAAGAAGCCTCCGTTGCTGGTGTGTCGAACGCGACGAGGGAAATTTCGGAGGTACCGGGTAAGTAGTACGGAGACGGGTGCGCAGCAGGCGGGCAGGTGGTGTCCCGCAGCGCCACAAACTTGCACACGCTGTTCTCGTCAGGTGCGCTGAAGTCTATTCTTGAGCGCACCTCCGCCAGCCGATGCTCGCGGAGGCGGTGCACCACATCCACGGAAGCCACAATGTGGAGGCGCCTCCCTTTATGGCTCTCCACCGCAATGATGACAGGGAGCTCGGCAGACATGTGCGAACGGTTTGAAAATACAAAAATGCTCTCAGGAATGGCGCCAAAGTAGCGGAGGCACTGCCTCGTCACGCCATAGCCAGCGCCGAAGAGCACAAGCGGGCGGCCATCGCTGCAAAGCACGTAGCCAGGGCTGCAGCCCCCGTCGTACACCATCGAGGCGCCCTTGCCTGTCCCAAGACAGACAATGGAAAGCTCCGCAGCGTCACGCATGCCGCTCCAATCCCATGCAGAGGCGATAGTGGAGCGCGTGGCCACCGCAGCTCCCGCTGCCGTTATGATCAAACGAAACAGAAGAGAGGGGGGGGGAAAGAAAGAAACCAAATGTCAAGAACATAGAAAGGGGAACCCGCCTCAAAGCACGCGGTATGCTGTCCTCCCGACCCACCCATCCACAGATGGCGCGGCATCCCTCCCCACACCGTATCATCGAGCAAGAGAGAAAGCAGAAGAAACGAAAAAAAAAAATAAACACTGCAGAGAAAAAAAAAAACCGAAATAAAGAATCCACCAGCTATTCGAATCCCGTCATGAATTGGTCAGGGTTCGGGCCAAAGCGGTGGTTGGTGTTCATGTCATCAATGGCCGTCATGTCCTCCGGTTTTAGTTCAAAGTCGAATATCTTTGAATTCGACTTGATACGCTCCTCGTGCACCGACTTGGGGATCGCGATGACTCCGTGCTGAATCTCCCAGCGCAGAATGACCTGTGCGGTGGTCCTGCCGTATTTGTCCCCGATCGCCTTTAGCTTGGGATCCGCAATAAGGTTGCCCTGCCCCAAAGGTGACCAGGCCGTGATGGCGATATTATTCTTCTTGCAGTATTCACGGAGCTCCTGCTGATTGTTCAGCGGGTGGAGCTCGATCTGGTTCACCATCGGCGGCACCTTGCAGTGCTTCAGGACGTCCTCGATGTGGCACTTCTGGAAGTTGGAGACACCAATGGCACGAACCTTTTTTTCCGCATAGAGTTTCTCGAATGCCCTCCACGTGTCTAGATACTTGTCCTTGCCAGGCCAATGGATGAGGTAGAGGTCGACGTAACTCAGCCCGAGCTTCTTGAGGCTCGTCTCAAAGGCCGCCAGTGTGCTCTCGTATCCCTGATTTGTGTTCCATAGCTTTGTGGTAACAAACAGCTCTTCGCGTGGAATACCGCACTTCGCAATGGCTCGGCCGACACTTTCCTCATTCTGGTAGATTGCGGCCGTGTCAATGTGACGGTACCCCGCCTTGACTGCCCACTGCACGGCGTTCTCCGTCTCCTCTCCATCCTTCGATTGCCACACGCCCAGGCCGAGCACCGGCATGGCGACGCCGTTTGATAGCCTTATTGATTTGGTCAAGGCCATATTGCGTTATTGTTGTTGTTGTTGTTGTTTTATTGAGTTGCTTGCTTCTTGTTGTTGTTTTGTGAATATGTGTGGTGAGCATTCCAGGTGTCGACAAGCAACGCAGGAGGGGAGAGTAATGGAGAGCGATCCTTCGAGTGTAACGCGAGGAGGGGCCCCCCGTGGAAGGGTGGCACAGGAGAAGCACAGGCACACACAGACACACAGACACAGACCGAATGGCTGACAGACAGACAGACAGAACCACGGCGGAGCTGCCGCCTACAAGTTATTCTCTATGTCTTCGCCCACGTCGGCGTTGAGGCTCGGCAGAAACTCCAAGTCCTCCCGTTTATGCCGCCGCTGCAACGGGACGCGGCTGAAGTCGGACACAACTGTCTCCATGGAACACATGTCGACACCGCACTGCACTGTTACCCGAAGCGGGACCTTCAACTCCACCCCAGGAAACGCCTTGGCGACGTAAGTGTGAACCCCCATCATGCAATCCTGCGTCTCCCGTACGCACTCCTCCAGTACGTCGACGTGGCAGTCCAGCCATAGGGAGTCATGTACAAAGTTGATCATGAACGCTCTCTGCCCGTAAAAGTTCTTCCGCACAAGCTGACGAAACACACGTCCTACCATCATCTGCGCCAACTCCGCACCGAAACCTTGGATGGGGTAGTTCTTCACAGGCGGCAAGTTCAACACTACGTCACGTGTCTTGAAGCTCATGCGGAGGCCAGTCGGCAGCTCCACGACAAAGTGCGTCGGAAGGCCTGGATTGTTCGCCCGTAATGCAACAGTTCGGACGAGGCGATGAAACTTGGAGATTCCCGGATACTCCTCCTCCTCCTTGCGGATGGACGCTTCAAGATCCTTCACGGGAATACCCGTCGTTTTGTGGAGCAGCGGTACACCTGCGCCGTACAGTCGCTGAAACGAAAATGTCTTCGCGGTCTTGCGCAACCGCACATACTTCGCAACATCCCGTTGAACCCCCTCAAAGATCTCGTCGTAAGGTATCCCACTGAAGAATGATGCACGCTTCACATGGAAATCAACGCCCTTGTTTAGGTCCGACACGAGACGCTTGTCCCCGCAGAGGAGAGCCATGACGACAATTTCCAGCTGTGAGTAGTCCAACTCCACGCACCGCCCCTTCGCCCCGAAACGCGAGACAAAAAGACGCCGCAGTGACGACTTGTCATCCTTGGGGATGTTCTGGCAGCTCGGGTACGAACTCGTCGTGCGGGATGTGGAGGTGGCCGTGAGGTCAATATATTGCCGTACCTTCCCGTCCGGGTGCAGCACAGAGAGCTGGCCGTTGTGGTCGGAGTGGAGGAAACGTGCGGCGCTTCGCTCCAGCTGCTGCTTCTGCACAAGAAGCCCAGCCACCTCAAGCTTGTGTTGGTGCAGTGTCTGCAGTGTCGTTTCGTTCAGTGCCTTGCGCTGCAAAGACGCCAAGACCTGCGGGTCTTCGATGGCCTCAGACGCAACGCCAGGCAGCCGCACCACCGCGCAGTCGCGCCTACGCTCGAGTGGGAGAAAACAGCCGACGCCAGGGTACACCACCAGCGTGCGGGCAGCGTGGCTGAAGACGGCATCGCGCTGTTTGGCGGCGTCACGCCCCGCCAACCCCAGTGCGTTGACGAGGACAAACCACAACGTCTTGGCGTCCGTGTCAGCGCGATGCAGCTCACCGTCAGCCTTCACTCGAAGGCCCTCCACAAGAGAGGAGAGACGGAGTGAACTCGTCAAGATCTCCACCACGCCGCGGTCCACGCGGAGGTTCTCCTTCCCCCCCTGCAGCTCGCGTTTGAGCGCCTTGAGCAGGATAATCGAGTCGCAGAAGAGAATGCTGTCGGCGTCCACGTGCTCACGCTCCAGCGCGCGCCGGAGCAGCGGTTCGTCGAGCGCAAACACGTTGTGCCCAATGAGGACAACGACCTCGTTGGGGTCACGCTGTGCCTCGTCCAGGCGCAAAAAACGTGCAAACGCCTGCGTCACCTCCGGCAGACGCGGCGCTCCGCGCACCATGCCGTCCGTGATGTGGTGAATCGCCGTCGTCGTCTGCGGAATGGGCCGCTGCGGGTCGACGAGGGAGCTGAACGACGTGCCCTCCACCGGGTCCCACGCGGCGATCTCGATGATGGTGTCGGTTGCCGTGTTGAGGCCGGTAGACTCGATGTCGAAGACCACAAGCCGGTAGCGGCGGCTCGGCGCGTTCTTGTCGGCCGTAAGAAACTGCGCCACACGCTGCGGGAGGCGCCCCGCCGTGCGCAATCCATGCTCGCTCGCAAAGCGCTGCAGGTGCACGTCCGCTGAGAGCAGCGAGAGGTTACCGTACTTGTGGCAGAAGTACATGAGGTTCGACGTCCATGCGGAGGAGTCACGCGCGGTGTCGCTGTACCCGAGCGTGATGTTGCCACCAAAGAAGAAGGCGTTCAGGTGTTGCACGGACGACCAATCAAAGAACTTCTGCAGGTCGAGCGGTACCTCGTTCGGGACGTACAGGCTGAGTGCCTTGTCAATCGCCAGCACACGATTGTGCACGGCCCGTGCCTGGTGCGCCGCCTCCTCCATATCTACTTGAATGCCGGCGCTCTCAATGGACGCCATCGCCAGCAGCGAATCCATACGGTGGGCGATGCATATCGCCTGGCTCCGCTCCCCCGCCTTCAGCAGCTGTTCACGGAAAACCGTTGATAAGGCATCCACAGCGGCCATCAGGTAGTGCCGCAGGAANGCAAATGGCAAGTCCGCCGCGGCAATTCCCAGGACGGCGGAAGGCGGAGTCATGACACCATACTTCTGCGCAACCTCACGGAAGCTGTTGCTACCTGTGTGGCACCGCTGGGCCTCAAGTAAGTACTCCGCCAGCATCGTGCACCACACCCTGCCTCCACGCTTGAAGAAGCGCTTCAGCTCGGGGTCGTCCCAGATCAACAGGAGGAACTGCTTGGCATTGTGTGCCACAATGACATCAAACTCATCCAACGAGGGTAATTTAAATTCGCCTCGAGCTGTGTACTTTGTCCATGGCTCTACAACACGCTGCTGTCTGTCCATCAAGCAAGCGGCAAGCACGTAGTTCGTCGACACATGCGGGTTTGCCATTCGCGTGTATGCGGAGAACTCCGTTGCCACATACGCGATGAGAAGGTGCCGCTTGTACCTGCGCAACTCGGCCTTTTCAGCCGCCACGCGTCGCTCAAGGGTCAGAATGCGCAGCCACTTCTCCACCTCCGCACCGGTCACATACGCCGCCTCCGCACTTCCCTCGTCGCATTCGCCGTTCTTCTTCTTGCTCTTCAGGGCCCTCCTGTCACTTTGCTGTGAGAGCAGCCTTGTCGCTGAGCCCGCCTCCTGCAGCCGCTTGATGTGGTAGCTGCGCAAGTTGTTTCCAGCCGCGGCATACACCTCGAACAGAAAGTCCGTGTCAAGTCCGCACGATACCTCACGCAGCGCCTTCCAGTAGCCCGACGGCTCTGACTGGTACACGCCGCGGTACTTTTCGCCCATCTCGGAGGGGAACACGATGATGCACTGCCGGCCCGCCTTTGAGAGGGCGGTGCGGCAGCGCAGCAGCGTTGGTCGGTCGGTGCGGTTCGTTGGAATAAATATCATATGCTTCGAGTACCGCTCCAGCAGGCACGCGAGCACGTCGGAGAGCATGCCCCTCGCCACGTAGCGTCTCCTGTGCACGGGATCCCACAGCACAATGTTGAGGCCGCGAGAACCCGACCGCACAAGGTGGATGACGTACACGTCGAAGCGTGGCACGATAAGGCGGTTGATGGTGTGGATCGGGTCGTCCTCTTCCTTCGTCTTGCACGCCACCGCGCGCAGGTAGACCCATTGCGCGCGGAACCACATGTCGCTCAGCGGCTGCGGCGTCACGACGGCGGAGCTCGCCACAACGTCGCGCAGCGGCAGCGGGTTGGGGTCGAGCACGGCGGCCAACTCCACACTGTCGACGTGAAGCACCGGAATGATGCCGCTGCGCCGCAGCACACTGGCCAGCCGCTCCAGGTGCGGCGCGAGCACCTTGC